CTCAGTGTCTCCTCCTCCCCCAACGCTGATTGGGCATCCGCCGCCTCCTCCTCCTTTTTTTGATGCTGGTGACTACTGGGCGGCGCGGGCCTCATGTGGACACGCGAAACAATGTGGAAAAATGACTGCAGGCGCGGACGCCCGTACGCCCCATCCGTTCGGACGTCCCGTTATTCAAATCATATACTCTTATAAAGCTAAACCCCATTAGAGATTTATCTCAACATGCAAGCTATCCACATCAACAATCCACTAAACTTACAATTATTTATATTCTTATAAAGTTAAACCCCATTAAAGATTTATCTCAACATGTAAGCTATCCACATCAACAATTCACTAAACTTACAATTATAGCTAACTAGCACATGTAATTATGATAGTTATCTTTTCATCTACTAATATGCATTTAGCTATCCACATCGATGTATCAGACCATTCATCAAAATCAATTTAAGATAGTTTCATTCATATAACTATAAATATAAATAGTCTATTTTTTTAAAAAATTATCTGAATTCCCACGTCAGCACGCGGGTAGTTCATAGAAATATAAGTTTATCCTGACATTTTGTCACAATATTTTCCGCTTTGGCAAGAACGAGAGGAGAGCCCCGCACTGGTGTGCTGCGCCACGTCAGACGTCACGCAAAGCGAACTGGACGGAGGCGTGGCCGTCACTGCTCCTCCCTCGCGCGCAAACTTCCAAACAACTTGCTTTCAGTTTTGGTTCCGTTCCACACACTTCCCATCCCCGCACGCCCACTCCACTCCGCCTCTGATCCCGTGCCGGGTGCCGCCATTTCCCGTGCGCCCACCAACCGCCGCCCCGCCGCCGACGCGATCCCCATCACGCGCCGCCCATGGCGCCCCACCTACTCACCCCACCGGCCCTCACCATTACGGGCGCCGCCGCCCCAGGCCGCCTCGGCGGCACCGGATCGGCGGACCCGCGAGCGCCCAGGCCACGCGCGCCGTCGCGCACCTTCTTCTGCTCCTCCCCCGGCAGAGCGCGGCGGGGGCTCAGGAGGAGGAAGGGCTTGAGCGTCGCGGCGGCGGCGGCGGAAGGAGCGGAGCCGGGTGGGCCCGCGGGGCCGATGCGGCTCAACGAGTACATGGTCGCTGTGGACCGGCCCCTCGGCGTCCGCTTCGCCCTCGGCGTCGACGGACGCGTCTTCGTCCACTCCCTCAGGAAAGGGGTAAGTGACTAAGCGGGGAACGAGCAATGGGAAGGGAGTCCTTCCCAGGTGGGCGGGGTTTAAGGACCTTCAATTGGCGAGTGACTGACTGACATAGTGACATCCGGTTGCTGCATGTGGTGATGCGTGTCAGGGGAACGCCGAGAAGTCCAGGATCATCATGGTCGGCGACACGCTCAAGAAGGCGGGCGGCGACGGCGAAGGCCTCGTCACCATCAAAGACCTAGGTGACACGGAGTACGGCACCAGTATTGTCGTTATGTTTCACTCATCCAAAGACTAGCGTCTCTATGAAATTTTAGTGAGCCATCCCATCTCTGTCGATTTTGGTCGTGTGTCATATATAAGATTACTTATTATGATCGGAAGTGGCTTTCCTGGTTATGTTAGAGTTTTTTTTACCTCTTCTGTTTGAACTCTGAATATTTTATACCCTGGTCTAGTGAAATTCCTACGTTCAAAATAAGTCTTAAAATAGACTTGTAACTAATAATTTCTGGACTATTCGTCAAGCTTAGTAATTATTCAATGGCTCAAATGAAATGGTTCTTTGTTAGGGTAATAGTTCTTGGCATACAGCAGTACTTTGATGCACTGAACAAAGAAGTTTCAGCTCTTTGCTTTCCCAGACATTGAAGTGCACATATACTTAGTAGTGTAGCAGTTGGCGATTTTAAAATGAGCCTTAAACTTCTTAATTGCTTGACAAAGTGTTACCCAATAGTCCAATACCCATTGGAGCACCACCTTCCTCAAAGTTAAGATACCAGCAATCTAGCAGTTCAATTAACACGATTTATTTCCCTTAAAAATTCAAGAACGTCGGATGGAACTACTGCATGGTAATGCTTCATTCATATGTTCTCTTTAACTTATATCCAGAATTGCGCTGAGGGACAAGTCAGCATGCAGCCTTGTCCTTGAGAGACCATTTGCTCCTTTTCCAATCCATCAGTTGCATCAAAATGAAGATTACCACATTCTATTTAACAGAGGGCGAGCTGCTGTTGCCTCGTGGAATAGTGCTGTTTGGTCCACAAAGCTGAATGGATCGTCTACTGGGGATGGAAAATGTGGTTTTGCTGTATTCTCCTCAAGGTTGCTAAGTTCTCAAGGATGGGCTCTTCTGTCTAACGAGAAAGGTGGACTCAATCAGAGTAGCACTAACCTTGCCAATCGCATAAGTGAGATTGTTGGTTTATATTCTGATGAAGACGATGTCAATGCTGAGTGGGCACATGGTAGCTTTCCTTTGGAGGAGTACATTAAAGCACTAGACCGTGCTAAGGGTGAACTGTACTATAATCATTCACTGGGTATGCAGTATAGTAAGGTACTGGAAGACTGCTTCTGTTAATTTTCTTAGACATGTACATCCATAAAGGGTGTGTCAATACTATGTGTGCTTTCAAGAGCTGAGGACTACTTATCAATATATACCAATAACCATGGCGCTTGTTTTACACAAATATTCGCAGATAACAGAACAAATATTTGTTGGGTCATGTATACAAACAGAGAAAGATGTGAAGATGTTATCAGAAACTATGGTATGATCCTGACATATGCTGCAAGCTTGTCTGATTAGTGCTTTTTGCTTACATTTGTTGCATTCCATTTATACTTCCATTTACGTTACAATTCAGTTAAGTTTCTGATACTTCAAAAGGCTTCAGGGTATCACTGCTGTTCTGAATTTCCAAAGTGAAAGTGAGCGCATTAACTGGGGAATCAATTCTGAGGCAATCAACAGTTCTTGTCGTGAGAATAACATCTTGATGGTTAACTATCCTATACGGTATGCTGTAATTCCTCCATCTAGAAGATAAACTTTAGAATGTTTGATTCTAGTTCTTCACTATAGTTATATTGAACCAGCTGTAGCTTCCTTATCCTGTGACAAACAAGACTAGAATTTATGTAGGTTCGAATTGTCATTTATTTGTAGAGCGATGTCGGTGATACTTTGGCTACTGTAGTTGTGTACTTGATATTCGGTGTGTACTATTTGTTGTTGTGTGGATTAATGTTCTAAGCGCTTTATGTCTCATTAGGCTGTTATAAGCACAGCTCATCCTACTTCACCCTAGTAGTTTTCTGAACACAAAGGATCTCTATGAATTGTTGGTGAAATCTTTACTTAGTTTTGCAGACGTCATAGGCTTGCTAACCTTACTATCATCTGATTGTCATTTAACTACTGATGCTGGATGTTTTCAGAGAGGTTGATTCCTTGGACCTAAGAAAGAAGCTTCCTTTCTGTGTTGGTCTTCTGTTGCGTCTTATAAGGAAGAACTACCGTATCTATGTGACTTGTACCACTGGATATGATAGATCACCAGCATGCGTGATATCATACTTACACTGGGTTCAAGATACACCTCTCCATATTGCTCACAAGTTCATCACTGGTTTGCACTCTTGTAGACCTGACAGGTAATTATGGTTGAGCAACATTATATTAGTCGTTCTGTTTGATGCTAAATCAAAGAGGACCCTGTTTATTGTGACTGCTGAGAACAAAAAAATTGTTTAATGATGCAGAGCTGCAATTGTTTGGGCAACTTGGGATCTTATTGCTTTAGTTGAAAATGGAAGGCATGATGGTAGTCCCACACATTCAGTATGTTTCGTTTGGAACAGTGGTAGGGAGGTAAGTTCCTTTTTATACAAAAATGTTACTGAAGAGTGATTATTTGGCATAGAAAACATTTGTTCAAGTCAGTGTGAGACTTCATGGTATAATCTTGACATTCAATAACTCGAGGGGTTGACTTGCACCGTTGCATGTGACATTGGCTCCAGGGTGAGGATGTAGAGTTGGTTGGAGATTTTACGAGTAACTGGAAAGACAAAATAAGATGCATCCACAAGGGTGGGTCAAGATATGAGGCTGAAGTTCGCCTTCGGCATGGAAAGTAAGTTGCCACTTGCTTGTTTTCGTGGCTGAGGATATTAAACAGCATCTGTCTATCCCACCATCTTCTGATCTCTTTGCTCCTGATAGTTATCGAGTTAACTGAAACTAACCCCATACTCATTTAGGTACTATTACAAGTTTATAATTGGGGCCATTGGAGGCATTCGACATCATTGCCTACAGAAACAGATTTGAACATGGGAATGCCAACAATGTGATCAGAGTAGGTAACATTGCTCGCATTCGTCCTGCTCCAAGCCAGCTACACATAAAAGTATGTCAACTCAATCCACTGCCTTCAGTGCCTCGATTGAACTTCCGACCTGTCTACTTCTTTGCAATTTAAGCATTCTTTCATGTTTTTGCTGATCAAACCCTATATGAGTTTTTAAGGTAATAATGTGGAAACTTAGTAGAATCTGTAGCTTACTATAGCCAACAATCATGATTGGCATCTATCATGGCAGGACCCAACTGTTGTTAAGGTCATAGAAAGGGCGCTAACAGAGGACGAGCGGTTTTTCATTGGCGTTTGCAGCACGCCACATGGCATTTGCAATCTGCCCAATCAGATTGTCCCCAAGCAGTAGACGTGTCATCCTTTTCTGAGCGGAACCAGGCGTCATCGAGGACCAGCAATTTTCTTAGCTACAGAAAACTCATGTAATGTAGAAAACAGAGGGGCCTTCTTACTGTATGTATCCGTTCACACACAACCTGGAACGTCGATAAGTGGCTCAGCAATGAGCACAATGTACACCTCTGTGTAATTCTATGGACTGTATACCTGAAATGAACTCCATTTTAGACTATAGGACACTCTTGAGAATCTGAGGCCTGCTCGCAAATGGCCAGTGAACAAACTCTGCAATCTACTGCTCTCAGGGGATGGGAGAGATGACTACTTTGCCGGTTGCTCTCCCGGTCTCAAGGTAGGAGAACGCCTCCACAACCTGGGAGAAGGCGAACGGCCCCTCCGGGTCGATGAGCGGCTTCACCTTGCCTGACTCGAGGTACGGGTTGAGCTTCTCCAAGACGGCGCCGTTGGAGGTGACGACGAACCGGAACCCTGGAGGGCTGACGGCGCCGGTGAGGACCACCACGCTGCCGCCTTCCGTCACTACCTTGACAGCCTTGTCACCCTGACCTGAAATGAAACAGTCACGTGTATTTTGTGGTGGCTGCTGGGCATGCATTTGATGATGGTGATCTTATCTTACCGACTGCGTCCAAGACAACATCGTATTTGTCCGGCAGCTCTTCGAAGTTGTCCTTAGTGTAGTCGATGGCGACATCGGCACCCAGGCTCTTGAGCAGCTCGATCTTCTTGGTGCTGGCCGTCGCAGCCACCTTGGACGCGCCGTACACATGCTTCGCTATCTTCATTCCACGTCAAGAGCAGCATTGTGCAAGAAGGTTCAGTTCAGTCTTTACTCTTAGTACGTACCCAACAGTACGTCTAGGTGGAATTCAGACAGCAGCCAGTGTCTGTGCAGTGAAGTTTCAGTGTCTGACACTCCTGATGAGATCTTACCTGGATTGCAAGGGAGCCGACACCGCCGGCGCCACCGAGGACGAGGACGGACTTGCCGGAGGACAGTCCCGCCCTCTCCAGGCCCTCGTTGGCGGTCTGGACGGCGAGCGGCAGGCTGGCGGCCTGCGCGAAGTCGAGGCCCTTGGGCTTGAGCGCCAGCAGCTTCTCCTCGACGGCGGTGTACTCCGCCAGCGAGCCGGACTGCTTCGGCCCCTCCAGCGGCTTCTCGCTGATCATGCCGTACACCTCGTCGCCTTCTTTCAACTTCTTCACCTGGCTGCCCACCTTGACGACCACGCCGGCCACGTCGTACCCCGGCACGGTCTGCAGCAGTGCACAGCATCGATCAGCAAGTTGAGCACTCCCAGAAACAATAAAGAATTTGCAAGACGAGCGAGACGAGGATAGCTGATCATCAGACCGGGAGAGGTGAGTCGGTGGCCTGGAACTTGCCGGCCCGCCGCTTGGCATCGACGGGGTTGAGCGCCGCGGCGACGACCTTGACGAGCACCTGGTCCTCGGCCACGGCCGGCACAGCCGCGGCCTCGTCGAGCTTGAGCACGCTGGCGTCCCCGTACGCGTCGTACACCCAGGCCTTCATCACCCCGGGCACCTCCGTCGCCACCGCAGCCGTGGCCGGGGACGAGGACGCGGACGCCGCCACGCACCGCCCCGACCGGCCAGCAGCCTCCGAAGCTGTTCTCCTAGCGGCGGCAGCGGCGGCGCTGCCCCTCGGCGCCGACGACGGGAGGACGAGCTTCACGGGAGCCTGAGGCGGCTGCGGCAGGAATAAGGACGACCTCGAGTAGGAAGTGACCGGGATCGACGAAGAGAAGAACGCCTGCATTCTTTTTTCGATTCGAGCTCTCGTCTCGGAGCAGGATGAACGTTGCTGGTGCTCTTGAGCTCTGCCAGTGCCAGGTGCTGCTGTGTTGTTGTTGTTATCCGTTTGTGGCCGTCGCCCGTCGGGAGTGGCGGGGAGCGCTCGGGGTGACGAAACTTGTGGCTTGGATGGGCGGACAAGTTGGATCTGGCCAGCGTCGATGGGAAAGTTCGATGAACGTGGACACCGCGCCTGTCCGTTCATGGACTGGGAAGCAGAGATGGGGCTTTGGATCCGGCCTCATAGCTTCAAAGATAATTTTAGGGGCCATAAGTTGATTAATTTCATTTGGAATTCCACACTTAAAACACTATGACCCAACTAGTTCAGCGGGTAGCATTAGTGGGCTTAAATATTTTTCTGATGTCATAGGCTATGAATTGTATCAACACTCTATGAAAAATGAGATAAAAGATTTAAAAGTATCATAACAATACATTAAAGTTATTTGCAATGCATCAAATTAAGTAAGTTTGCAAGTGAACCATGATTTTAATTTTATCTATTTTTCACTTCCGAAATATCATACTACATCTACTTTCAAGTATAGATATGCTTATAAGTCAAGAACAACTTATTAAAAAAAGGTTGTTATGTGACGAATGGATCCACTTGTATTACCCATCACTACTGCATAATAGCTTTTCTCAAGCCGTCAAATTCGTTTTTCCGAGGCGGATGCCCGCCTCGGACAAAAAGCCTGCGTTGATCATCATTTTCGCAGGCGGTCACTGCGCCCGTTTGTGAAACTAGATTTAAAAAAATAAAAAAGGTAGAAGCTCATCGGTGAGCCCATTTTCGAGCCCACCGGCTCCTAGGACCGCCTCCGCCACCGAATCCGGCCGCACCTCCACCGGATCCACCACCACTCCTCTAGATCTGGGTCAGCCGAGATCCGCTAGGCGTGCCACCTCCATGCAAGCGTCGCCCGAGGCGGCCCAACCACCGCCTCTGCGCGCATGGCCGCCTCCACCTCACTGCTGCGGCGCCTCCAGTGCTCCACCACCATGCCACTTCAAGCTCCAACTGCTGTGCTGCCGCAAGCATGGGCACGGTCGTGGGCCCCAGACCACCACGCCACCACTATAGAGCCACCGGGGGCGAGACCTGGGAGGCGCCCGCTTGGAGGGGAGCCATTGGGAAGGCGCGCCAAGTGGGGCACCACTAGGAGGCAGGGGCCCATTGCACCGGGAAGGAGGGACGCTTGTGAGTGGGGCTCCACTAGGAGGGAGGGGCTAGGAGAGAGGCGTAGCTGGAGTTTAGAAATGCAAGGGGCACAGCTGAGACAGGGGCGGGGCTGGAATAGTGGACTAGGGTTTCTCCTAGGTATATATATTCCTAGTCAGTATCGGGCTCATATGGGCTTCCCCAACAGGTAGTGGGCTCAGCCACATTAACACAGGCGAACCTTTTAAGAGGTCCACCTCCGAAAATGGCCTCCATTTTTGGAGTTAGATATCTTAAAAGGCCTGCTTCCTAAATTTGTTTTAGGGAGGCGGTAATTTTTGGCGCCTCCATAAATCCATTTTTAGGAGGTGGGCAATTTTGACCACCTCATAAGTAAATGTCTTGCCTCCAAAAATCCTCGACTTTTTTTAGAGACGGTTGGATTTTTGACCGCCCCATTAATGATTGGGCACTGTCTCGTGAAATCATTTAGGTAGTAGTGCATTGTGTCACTAGGTTTCAACTCTATCCATCCATTTTAGACTTTTGAGTACGGACCTTGTGACTCATTGGCCTTACTTTTGTGGGTCGAGTCAATTACTCGGTCATCGTGGCTCATTCCCATCTCTGGGGCTTAGCAAGATAAAATTAGGGAAGAATGGTAGTTTTTCTATGAAATCTACTTATAATGCTTTGACTTCCAATGAAGATGGGCTGCATTTAAGCATAGCTGGAAAAGGGAAAATCCTAGCCAAATTAAAGATCTTTTTGTGGCTAGTTGAGAATAATGCCATCTCAATTGAAGATAATATGCTCAAGAGAAACTGGAAGGGAAGTCCCTCCTATTATTTCTATGATCAAGATGAGAATGCGAAACACTTGTTCTCTTGTTGCATAGCCAAGGTAGTTTGGACTACTATTGCTGTTTGCTTAGGGGCTTCCGATATTCCTAAGTCTTCAATTCAGTGTTGGAGATGGTGCGAGAAGTGGCTTCCTAATGGGAAAACGTTCTATGCAATGGGAATCGCTGCTATCCACTGGGCAACTTGGAAAACTGGAAACAAAACCTAGCCAACTTTGGAGATCACCACAAATAGAGTGGCTTATACACAAAAACATATCCAAACAGAGTCCAAAGTGGTGAAAGATCATAACATCACAACTTTGGAGATCACCACACATACACATGAGAAGGAGAAATGCCAACACCACTCAAAATAGGTCCCAAATAGCAGACTGCAACCTGGCCCATGCTGCATGGCCAGTAGAGAGGCCACCCACCAAAGCTAAGTCCTATCCGGCCTATTACTCTACGTCGTACCTGAACATGGGGGGTGGCCTCTCTACTAGCCTTTTGTGCGTCCAGACCTCGTGACTCATTGACCTTACTTTTGTGGGTCAAGTCAATTACTTTGTGGCTTTTGCAACATTTTGGTTGGGACTTAGCAAGGAGTCTCCCTTATATACTTGGATCAAGCCACTTGGAGGTTTGTTCTCTCATAAGGACACGACGGAAGGAAGAGAAATTTTAAACCCACTTTCTTGAAATCGCTTCCTATGCCGACAATCTTAGTAAACACCTCAATGGTATCATAAAAATAAGCGGAAACTTCAATAGGCGAGCAGAACCCATAGATTCTTCCTGCTTTGAGCCTCTCTCGAACCATCGGTTAACCCACAACTTCGGAGGATTTAAGAAATTCAACCTTCGGTGTTGCCGTTTGAATTAGAGGAAGATATTTTTGAAGACTTTGGAAACACCTATAATTGTATCGAAGATGCCTTCTTACCCTCACCCGGCCCGATCCTTGGAAAAACCTTTTTGGGATACAACGGTGAAGGACTTAACTTCAATTCTTAGTGACGAATGGTTGAGGGAAATGGAGGTTTCTCCCAAGGTGTTTCAATTTTGTACACCTTCCTCAACTATTTCATTAGCTAATAAATCTTTTCACTAGGAAGCCCTCTATAACCCCACTTTTTGGCTTAAACATCATGTTAACCCTAGTTGTGGTACACTTTCCAATTGAACCCTTTGTACCATCTGGACTTTTCTTCAAGTGTCTCTCTGAACTTCTTTTAGAATGCAAGGGTGTTCTTTGCGAAAACTCTATCTAACTCGATGGTGTTGGGGTGATCCTTGATTTTCATATTTTTGAAGTCCCCGACTTCCATATCATGATTGGACATCCCATTGAAAAACTTCTTGCCAAATCTTGTTCTAATGGGAACCTCAATATGCACGTGGGGAGAAATCCATTGCAAATCCTGATCCCACGATCACGGAATTCAGTGCCTAAAAAGCCTCCGATCTATGACCCAATGGATCTCATGATGAGTACATCCTTTAACACTCCTAAGTCCATCCTAACGCAAGGCGCTCCACTTTCTATCGAAGAGGAGGACGAAGAAGGAGAAGTATTTGATCTTCCACCAACCCAACCACCATCACGACCTCCTATCGAGTTTAAACCCTACCTTCAGGCCTTCGCTATGCTTTTCTCAATGGAAACAAAGAGACTCCTGTGATAGTTAGTGACAAGTTAATGGAGGAGGAACTTGAAAAGCTTATCGCTATTCTTGAAAAGCATTGTTCTATTCTGGGCTACTCGATCCAAGACCTTTATAGAATTAGTCCCATGCCTTTTACTCATTGCATCCCTATAGATCCATCTTGTTCACCATCTAGGGAGCGCCAATAAAGGCTTAATACTGCGATGAGGGAAGTTGTAAAGAAAAAGGTCTTGAAAATCCTTCAAGCGGGAATTATCTATCCTGTATTGTTTGGTGAGTGGGTCAACCTTGTTCAAGTTGTCCCGAATAAAGGTGGGATGATGGTCGTTGAAAACTCAAAGAACGAGTTAATCCCACAACGAACCATTATAGGATGGAGAATGTGTATCGATTACTAAAGCTCAACAAGGCAATTAAGAAAGACCAGTTTCCTCTTCCCTTCATTGATGAAATGTTAGAATGGCTAGCCAACCACTCTTTATTTTGTTTCCTTGACGAGTGTTATTGGGTTACCACCAAATACCAATCCATCCACGATGACTAAAGAAAGACAAATTTCACATGTCCCTATGGGACGTATGCATATCGAAGAATGTTATTTTAGACTTTGTAACGCCTCCCGCTTCCTTCCAAAGATGCATGATGTCTATTTTCTTCATCATGATTGAGAAAATCATGGAAGTTTTCATGGCGATCGCTTGACGAGACTCAAACATAGGGATACGTTAAGTCCCGGGGTGAGAGTTTCTGATGAAGGACCCCCGATCGATCCTCCAAGATCGCTCGAGGGCTTCGGGCTATACCCCTTAGGCATGCGCCAGGCGCGCCTTCTAGCCAAGCTAGGATCGGACAAAACTTGAGCATGCCCTCCGCCTGCGATGGGGACACAGGGGCTCGCCCGAGCTCTAGGCTTCTGATCGATGGCGGTCTAGGCACGATCTTTGGCTCAACCTCTAGTCCGAGCCATGGGCTGAGACAGAACCCAGCGCCTACTGAGCATCCATGGCCCGGGGGCTCCACGATGCCACCCTGGCCAATGGGCGTGTCACGGTCACCCACTCCTTCGACAAAGTCACGCACGTGGCATGACATAAGGGGACAAATCCCTCCACCGACTCCAGGCGCTCAGGGGCTCTCGGGCTCGCTCATCAGCCCCTTAAGCCGGATGCCTTCTCCACCAAGGAAGCTCCGTAAGGCGCACCTGGTGGAGGTCGGTCCAAGCCGACAACCCCTGACAGTCAAATCGTTAGAATGCAGCAGCCGGACGGCGCCCGAGGCCCCTCCGACTCCACGATAATGCTTAGTTCCATCCACATCATAGCAGCGCCCTCCTGGACTCCGGTGCATGTAGACCATAGACTAAGCCCCCTAAACCGCCTTGTACCCGACCTACCTCGATTTATAAGGGGAGGTCGGATCCTACAGAGGGGAGGATGGGAGAGGACGATTCCAGAGAACCCACAGAGTCCTCCAGGACAACTCTGAGCTCTGCACCAAGGGCTCCTCCCCACCATCTTCTTCTA